TTACAGTGACTGCTCTCATCAGCACAATCCTGCCTTTCCTGCTCTCCTGCTGCCTCCTAACATTCTTTTTTAATGACCTCCATGTTTTGCAGTTGCTTCCTGACACATTTCCTTCCTGACAAAGCCCAGCCCATGTATCTGGGTTTGAGATCGACAGTAAGAGTGCATACTGGGCTGGGCTTCCCTGTCGTGTACACACTCTGTACTAAAAACATTTATCACACTTTCATTGAGAGTTTTAATGCAATTTAGCATTTATTTTCTGCTATACAAAGACTCTACAGGTGCCTAGAGCTTTTTTTATCAAGCTAAGCTTCCTCGTGTGTTTAGTGAAATACTTCCATGCTTACCAAGTGTAGCTTATAAACAATGTAAGCTGCAAAGAGAGGGAAGCAGTGGTTTGTGTTTTTGGAATGATAGATAAAAGTCCTCATCAATTTAGTAGGACTTGACTTAAGCGGCCAAAGAAATGCAGGAGACTGATGCTGTCACCGTTTTGTGACCCAAACAATATTTAGAAAGAAACAAATAAGAAACTCAACTCCAAATTAACTCAGTTCAAATAAACATAACTGAACTTAAATCAATGAAAATTAAGGTCAAACTGCACAAAGCTACACTGACCTGGTCCTTTCTCCTCAAACACCTGAGTTCTGCTTAAATAATAATAATGGATTGCATTTATATAGCGCTTTTCGGGACCCTCAAAGCTTTACAATACCACTATTCATTCACTCTCACATTCATACACCAGTGAAGGCAAGCTACGAACCTAAAACAGACAAAATCTTTTTACTAGATTCTAAACACTTGATTATACAGACAGACGAATAGGCGCCACCTTACCTCATTACCTCATAATTTCCTGTAAGTTCCCTTTTTTTCATGTGGTGGAATTTCCTCTCACAGGGGCACAGGGATATTGCTCAGGGTATCAGTCATACACCGCATAAAATAACTTTAGGTAAATTTAATAGCTTTAAAGAGCATCTGTATATTCTTTATTATTGTTTTTTAATCCAGGAAACTACAACAATGAAGCTGTGGGAGATAAGAAAGGAAATGCTGTTAAAAACAGCTTTAACCGCGTTTGTCCTCTCATGTTTCCTGGGACGTCTGGACTGTGAAGGTAAGATGTTTTATTCCTGTAAAACATTAAATTGTAGTTAAATTCAAATGCTAATATACAGTACAGGTTCAGTACATCAGCCTCTCAACTGTCTGGCCTTATGTACAGGTCCTTTAGAAATAAACTATGAAATGAATAACAAGCCATCGCTGTCTGGTACACAAAAATCAACAAATTTCTGTATTAAACACCCTGAATGTGACTGACAAGTACAAACAGGTTTTTATACCTTTGTTTTATCATTTTGTACAGACTCTGG